TTTTCTAGGTGAAAGCTGACTGTTCCAGAAGCCAATCAGTTGAAAAATTACAAATGGTTCAATTGAATTCTATCGAATATAATTTAATTTTCTCAGACTGATCAACTTAGCATGAAGAAAAAAACACTGCCTCTTGTACAGCTGATAATTCTCTACAAAAAGAGCTATAAATGGAAAATCATGAAACAACATGGCAAACTGACACTAATATTCGAAGAGTTTTGAGTATTTGACTTTTCAAAGCCCAAAGTAAGGTGATATTTGATACCACCGTCAAAAACTACATCTTGTAATGTGGCTTTGAACTAATTTGGCCGACTTTCAATTTTTGAGGTTTTTTCCTATTTTTTATTTAGAGTTTTTAGATTTTTGACCACAAAACGAAAGTTCTCAAATTAGTTCAAAGGCATATTACAAGCAAAGTCGAAAATACTGAAAAAGTTTCGAATATTAGCGTGAGTTTGCCACATTTTTTCACTATTTCCTGTGCTCCTGAGGTCGTAGACCAACGTTTTATAGCTCATTTTGTTGAGAATTGTCTGCTTCACAAGAAGCAATGCTTTTTCTTTAGGAACTATTGCACGAGAAAAACAACAGATTACCATAAGACCATGCTCAATCGATGTCTCAGATTTGCTTCTAACTAGTCCTCTTTGTTCAGCATGTGTGAAAACCTATAAATCCAATTTTTGAGCTTTCTAGGACTTTCACTTTCTGAATTCTGGCAGAGTCCGCTCGATAGAAAATTCAGCGTCTAAAAAATGGAGAGCAAAAACAAAGATGCACGGTCTACGAAGATGCGATCAGATCGTTTTTACCTGGGACCTTCAGCCCAACAGCGAAGGTCTTCTTGTTTGACGCCGTTCTCGAGCGTGTGGCTTAAGTATAAAACGAGATGCACTTTTTCATAGACATTCAAGTGTGGACTATTCGCATCCCGTCGCTAAAGTTTGGCGTCTTGTAAGGATCTACTGAAAACCTTTGAGGGCTTCTAGAAATCCCTTAAGTTTACCAAAAATATTTTCAAAATTCATAATTGGAAAGAGCACAAAATTCTGAATAAAATGAGGTATTGCTCATAATTTCAGCAATTCTTTTAAAAAGGTGAAAAAATAAAATGATGTTCAAGCAAAAATGGTTTACTATAAAAACTAATTTTTAGATTGTTCAATTTATGACTTAGAAACTATGAATGATACTTCATTTTGTTCAGAATTTTGTGCTCTTCGCATTATGTAATTTAAACACTTTTTTGGTAAGCTCAAGGGGTTTTTAGAAGCCCCTAAAGATTTTCCGCAGATTCTTACAAGACGCCAACTTTTGCGACCGGATGCGGATAGTCCACACTTGAATGTCGATGAAAAAGTGCATCTCGTTTTATACGTAAGCCAAAACTACATGTTAATTTCTTTCCAATTACGGCTCTTTTGGTGTACGCTCGATGCTCTCACGAAACGTCTCTTAAATTATGAGAAAACGGAGTTTCGTTTTTTCACATTTAGTTGCCCACTTCATTTCTTNCGGAGTTTCGTTTTTTCACATTTAGTTGCCCACTTCATTTCTTACCGTGCAGTGACTCTTAGATAGCTCACTCACTATCTGGCTCACTCTCGATGTAGCACTCTAATGCTAGCAATCGTTCTGAGGAAACGTTTTCAGTACTTGCCGTGAAACCTTACCAGTTGGCGTCGTGATATTAATCATTGTATTTATAACTCCAAGTTTTGTTTGACGGGCCTTTTCGGTCAAGTTTTTCGATTGCATAACGCTTCTGCAGCCTGCCGCGAAGTCACCTAAACGGATAACATATTAGTTAGAATGTCCTCAATCTTTTAAACCTATACCACTTGAACAAATGCTGGTTCCGAGAACTGTTTTTATAATTGCGGTGCCTACAGCAATAAAACGAAATTTTATGCAGTAATAAAACCTGCCTGCAAGAAGTGGCAACAAAAATGCAAAAGAGGAACAAATTCACAGTACTCTACCGCGTTTGAAGGAACCTTGTGTGCATTACACCCATATTATTCTATCGCTGAACCAGAGTTCCTAGATATACTAACTCTGATGGTAGTGTGACCTAGATTGTTTGCCGAAAAATCCAGAATGGGCTAGAAACTTTTCCTCGTGAGAAAATGCCCCAACATCTTCCGTTCTTCCTATGCAGAAAGTTCGACCAGGGTACTTAATCGAGACTGGGCGGGCCTAGACCGGGACTAAGTAAAAAAAGCTTCGGCACAAGGAGGGGATCGGTAATGGAGCAATTTCCTTTTCCTTGGTACCAGAAAAAGTTGTTCGCGTCAGTCTCTAATTACCGTCGCACAGAGAAATGTTTTTCTTTCTTTATAACATAGTGTCCTTGTTCCACATTATCAAACATGAAAAACTTCCTTCTGTCTTTTTCTCTCTGACTTATTGTCGTACATGTGCTTGAAAACAAAAGTATGTGTTCTGCTATAATTGTTTTGAATAAAAAAGAAAGTGATTATTGCTTAGGTTCTTAAAAACAAAATTATGTTTTATTTTAACTGTTTTGTATAAAAGAAAGAAAGTAATTAATGCTTAAGTTCTTAACAGCAAAATTATGTTCCACTTTAACTGTTTTGTATAAAAGAAAGAAAGTAATTATTGCTTAGGTTCTTAAAAACAAAATCATGTTCCACTTTAACTGTTTTATTATGTCCTGTGTTAAGAAATACTCAAGATGGCACTTTTTCAAAATTTGCGAATACACCGTAGTTTTAAAATTCTATACCTGAGTATAATTAGGTTCAAAAAGCCTACCAGTTTCTTCATTCCTGTAGTTTTGGCTGTAGAATCCAAAAATTCTAATCATCACTACATGTTAATTTCTTTCCAATTACGGCTCTTTTGGTGTACGCTCGATGCTCTCACGAAACGTCTCTTAAATTATGAGAAAACGGAGTTTCGTTTTTTCACATTTAGTTGCCCACTTCATTTCTTACCGTGCAGTGACTCTTAGATAGCTCACTCACTATCTGGCTCACTCTCGATGTAGCACTCTAATGCTAGCAATCGTTCTGAGGAAACGTTTTCAGTACTTGCCGTGAAACCTTACCAGTTGGCGTCGTGATATTAATCATTGTATTTATAACTCCAAGTTTTGTTTGACGGGCCTTTTCGGTCACAGCTACAGAGGTAACGAGCGCAGCTACACCCATGAAGGCACATAACAAAACTACCAACATGACTCGTCTTTTGGAACGATGCTTCTTGTCGAATCGAACCGCTCTTTAGATTATGAAAGAAACAACATTTTTTTAAAGTGATGGAACGGCGCTTTCTGTCGGACGGACTCATAGAAATTTTTATTATTATTAGTGATTGTGTTATTCTCTCTTAGAACTTCTCGATGAAAATCAGTTATACGAATGATGACAACTGTGAAGAGACTGGCACATCTGCCGAAAATAGTAAAAACGCTGAGCATAGTCCAAAATCAGGCGTTAGAGAGTGACACAACCTTAAAAAAATGTTTCCTTTTTTCGTAGTATACAGAGTGGTTCACCCATAAAACGCGAGTCAATAGTGAATTGAGTTATATTGGTGTGGATGACGACCAGGAGGGCGAAGAAAATAAAGGTGTGAGAGGTGTTAAAAAAAACGCGAAAACCAGTTATACTAATGATGGCAACTGTGAAGAGACTTCAACATCCGCCGAAAAAAGTAAACGCTGATCATTGTGAAAAACCAAGCGGCAGAGAGTCATCATCCTCGAACATCCTTTCAAAATCTTACTGTTATCTGTGTTGCATTCATTCTTTCAACTTGATCCTTGTAACATAGTTCCTTGTAACATCGCTCAGGTGTCGGTCGCTCAAGTGTCGGGGGCACTCAACTGTCGGTCGCTCAAGTGCCGGTCGCTCGAATGTCGGTGGTTCGAATGTCGGGGCGCTCAAGTGTCGGCGCTCAAATGTCGGCGCTCAAATGTCGGGCGCTCAAACGTCGGTTAATCATATTACCGATTCATTTGTATTCAAATTAGTCAATAAACCGTTACGATCTGACAATATACTTACAATATTCAAGTATAAATTTTTTATTAATAATCTTTACAACCAGCTTGTCCTCTGTTACAAGGATCAAGTTGAAAGAATGAATGCAACACAGATAACAGTAAGATTTTGAAAGGATGTTCATCAGCTTTCCCGTCCGTTTCCCCCATGAAAATTGATTTTTATCGTTATCGGGTCAGAATTTCCAATTTTATTGATAAAGCACTTTATCCACTTTGGACAAAACGGCGTAGTTTACAGTAAAAAATTCCACTACATACTTCACTTATAACGAAAGCTAACAGCAGAATGGGTTATGATATAGACACTCACTTTCTTTCATCTAAATCTATCATTCAGTCTTTATCGGTTACGTACTTTGCGTGGAGAAACATCGTCTATTCGTCCAATTTGAAAACTAGTCCCTACACGATCATTAGAAAACCGCTCGAATCCATGTTCAGCTTTACTGGTTTTTGAATTTGTTCAGTTCTTTACAGTGCTTATTACGCTGTGGTGAGACAGTCTGGTTTTGTTAAAAAGCGATGATTTTAGGTGAAATAGTTGACCGATTCAGATTTAAAACATTTATTCATTAGTCATTGGATAAGAAACGTATTTTGAAAGTCGACAGTCGCTGTATGGTTTCCATGTGGAACCATCCGTTCCGTCCATCCACGGACGGACAAAATATGTTGTGCACTCATACGACATATGACTGAGTGCCCGAGTCTTCGCTTGAATCATCCGTAAATAACACAATTTATCAAAACTGACTCTAATTCTTGCATTGATGTTCTCAAGCAACATGCATGGATTTCTATAAAATTTTTTCTAATCATTTCTATAAAATTTTTATACAATTTTTTTGTCGTTCGATTATGCACTGAATTATTTGGCTGAGCACTTGGTGCTGAACTGTCGTTATTCGTCAAATGTCAGGGTCGCTGAACTGTCGGTTGCTCAAATGTCGGGGTCGCCCGAATGTCAGTCGCTCAGGTGTCGGTCGCTCAAGTGCCGGTCGCTCGAATGTCGGTGGTTCAAATGTCGGGGCGCTCAAGTGTCGGCGCTCAAATGTCGGCGCTCAAATGTCGGCGCTCAAATGTCGGCGCTCAAATGTCGGGCGCTCAAACGTCGGTTAATCATACTACCGATTCATTTGTATTCAAATTAGTCAATAAACCATTACGATCTGACAATATACTTACAATATTCAAGTATAAATTTTTTATTAATAATCTTTACAACCAGCTTGTCCTCTGTTACAAGGATCAAGTTGAAAGAATGAATGCAACACAAATAACAGTTTATCGAGGACAATGTGTATTACGCAACGATTTTGAATTAATTCGAAATAGTATTGATTGTCTAATCTCAATCAACAGTTTTTTGTCTACTAGTGCTGATCGAAAGCTAGCGCTCGGTTTTGCAGTTTTCAGATTGGTGTAGCCAATGTGGAACCTGTTCTATTCGAAATACATCTTGATATGTCACCTACATCAAGACCGATCGCTGATATTAGCCATATTAGTAACATGGATGAAGAAGAAATATTAATATCGATGAGTGCTGTATTTCGAATTCAGAACATAATATTCGATAAAACGCACGCAGTTTGGATTGTTCAATTATTATTATGTGAATAAGACGAACAATCAAAACAATTAAAGGAACATATGATTAATGAACTTAGAGATAGCGGTCATTATTTGGGCTATTTACTTTATAAAATGGGTAAATATGAAGCAGTATTAAGTTATTGTACGAAATCCCTCGAACATCTTCCAAATGATTTTGTTGGTTTATGTGCAATTTATAGTTCTATTGAAATTATGCATAAAGATATGAAAACTATGATCACATCATTTTGCCGATTAATCAACTTCTTCAACATTTATTTCAAATTTTTAGATTTTTCTTGTCTCAACATTTTTACCATTACTCCCATTTTTCTGCGTGTTTTTGCCATATGTTCAGAAACATCCAAGGTTTGTCAATTATTATCAAACTCTTCATACTATAATTTTTGTAATTTTGTTCATTTTCCGTAGGTTTTAAGAGATCCAAAACAGCGACTGAATACTGTTCGAAACGTTGCAAAGTAAGTCATTATGTACATTAGGGGGAGGAGGATATAAACATATATATATTTTATATAAATGATATAAACCAAAGAGCTGCGATAGGTTTGCAAGATGAGGGTCTCGAAACCGAAGATATGTCGGTCCCGTTTCGCGCCCAACAAATATTTTTTGGTGTTGAACCTTGAAATACAGTTTTCAATGATGAATAAGAAAAATATAGTTTCACGGCTTCGAAATGAGGTCGAACCAAATTATTTAGTTTTTAAAAAAAGTTAGTGGTTTTTCGAAAGAAGAGATTCGTCAAGTTTTTTGAATTTTTTCCACTGATAATGTAAACTGGCAAGGCTATAAAGGGATCAGCGTAAAATTCTCTATCGAATGATGTATGATTAAGCCAAAAATAAAATAGTGCTATAGTTTTGAATTTGGAGCACCTTACCTTGTACTATATCTAGACGTGTGCAATTACGTCAGTGCTATGAGATAATGGACACAAATATATTAAAACCCGATACTGTTAGCGGTAAATTTAGTAAACGACGAACAACAAGTTTCACACAAACAATACAAATTGCATTACATGATGATCATCGATTCAATCACGGTGAATTTGTACAATGTATCAAATGGGTGATATTACTGTTATTTAGTCTTCTCACACATTTCTCTCAAGGAAAAGCATTGAATGACGTTAAGTATAAATTAAAAGTCTTTAGCTAAAACAATGTTCTTCGGACAAAAAAGAAGCTTCTTTTTATCTTTTCTGTTAAATTGTAGAATAATGTAGAAAATTCCTGTTTTTACGTTTACTGCTATATATATACTTCTTTCTTTCTTTTGACACTTTGTAACAATCTTTATTGTCTGATGATGGCAAGAGAACTTGTATCTAGATTCCATTATATCATAGATTCCATTACATCAAATATGGTTTATTATTGATCGACTACTTACTGTATTAATTATCATCACCAACTTGGACCTAATCGCTCATAAGCAGTAAACAAATGCAATGTACGAACAAACCATATGATTAAATCCAAACATAAAAGGATTCTAAATACAGATAAACAAAATCTTAA